CTCTTCTAGCCATATTTTACAGACAAGTAAACTAAGGCCCAGAGAGTTTAAATAACTTTTCCAAAGTTACACATCTGGCAAATGTGGGCATAGAGATTTTTGAGTTTCAGCATACACATGGTAGAAGGGACCAAGGGAAACTTTAAGGACTCCCTTGAAAGTCACATAGAAACAATAGAACTCCAGATGCAACTCTGGGGAGACAGTGACATTAAAGAATATGCAGAAAAGGAAGGGCCTTGAAAAGAGAGTCACAAACAGCAATATTGGTGAATGGGTGCAGAGGGAAAAATTCTAGGAAGTGCAATTGAAACAATCTAAATACCCAGCACTGGGGAATTTTTTTATTAGATTATGTTACAATCCACACAGCAGATTGCAGTGTCGCTATTTTTTAAAGTGATGTTACAGGACAAATTTTACTGATTAAACTAAAATATTTGACGTGTTATGTGAAAACCAAAGCAGGTTCCAAAATGGTAGGAATTCATTTTTATTTCTTAAAATGTATGTTTGAAAGATGAGGGGGATTTTATCCTTAAGACTGGAAAGACTTACACAAATGTATTAAGTGTTTACCTAAGAATTACAGATTTATGGGTAATTTTTTAAAAAATGTATCCAGTAAATATTTTTTTTTTTTTGATTTTTTGTTTCTTTGCTTGTTTGTGAGATGGAGTCTTGCTCTGTTGCCCAGGGTGGAATGCAGTGGTACGATCTTGGCTCACTGCAACCTCCGTCTCCCAGGCTCAAGCAATTCTCCTGACTCAGCCTCCTGAGTAGCTGGGATTACAGGCGCATGCCACCACGCCTGGCTAATTTTTGTATTTTTAGTAGAGATGCATTTCACTGTGTTGGTCAGGCTGGTCTCGAACTCCTGACCTCAGCCTCCCAAAGTGCTGGGATTACAGGCGTGAGCCCTGTTGCCCAGCCATAAATCTGTATTTTCAAAAGGAGAAAGACTGGGTGGGTTGGTTGGTTGGTTGTTTAAGAGTTAAGACCTGTCTGGGAAAGGAAGACTGTGCCTCCAGCAGTTCACTTTTGATTCATGAAACCAGGGGAGGAGACAGTGAAGATGGAGTTGAGCGGTTGCAGTATTGGGATGGCTGGAGGGACTCAGGTTTAGGAACTAGTCCCTTTCTAACTGCGCATTTGAAGCCTGTGGCCTGGCGTGCACACCTCTTCTTTCTCTCCTTTTGTCTGTGATAGTTCGGGTCATGTCTTTGTCTGAAGGCCGGGTAACCAGGAATTCTTACCTGTCATTGCTGTAAGACCTGGTTGTTCCTTTTTGTCTCTTTTCATTTCTTGCTTTTAAAATGGAGGAAATATTTTTAGCTTTTCAAGCGGGCTTTGAAATCTTGTCATGGAGAGTACTCCGTCACCTCAAGCTGGTAGTTAGCGTGCAACCTGTTTGCTAATAAACCAAAGCAGGACCCCGATGTCAAAATGCTTAAAATGGTCAAATCTGCTGGGACCCCGTCTCTGCATCTGACATGCCTTTTCCATTTCCCAGCCTCATGCAGAACATAAACCTGCATCAGGAGATGGCTCAATGTGAACTCTTATAAATTGGAGTGGGTATCTAGGGATCGAGGAGCAGACACTTCTTCTTTTAACCTTTGAAGACCAAGAATCATTTGGCCAAAAAAATCCACAGTGTGTTGAACTTAGGGTGTGAAAGCTGTACAGTGTATTAAATGTGAATTTGAGGCCATGAATTCTACCCACACTGACTCTATAAAACAGCCTCCCTTTTTCATAAAGCAGGCCCATAAACCGCTGCCAGTGAAGCAGAAAGACTCCTTAGGACTGTGGCTCGCTTTCCGTCTGGGGTTGTCAACAAACCCCCTTTATGAGTGGAATAGACCTCTTGTATGTGTCGAGCTTCTGGCTTTTTACAGAGTGTGTTAGGAGCCAGGCAAGGCAAACGTTAGGCGCTGTTTGCTGAGTGCATTTATTGCCTTTGCATAATTTATGAGCTGGAGGGGTTGACCATCATTCGTCTCTGCCAGGGGCTGGCACTCGAGGCTCCAGAGAGTGGAGCTGTAAATTGGATGGTGCGCTCCTGCTGAGCTCACGGCAAAGTCCTCGGGTCAGTATGGGAATTTAATACCAGAAATGGAACTGTTTTCTCAGCACACCATGTGGACCCCAGTGCAGCAGAGACTGTTTTGGCAGACTCCACGACTGGCCTTGTCGAGGAGCTGTCACTCACCCGGCATGTTGTGTGGGGAGCCTGAGCATTTTTAATCGGCTTGGCATCCGTGCTGCTTCCATAATGGATACCAGTAGGTCTCGGTTCTTCACCATATGCTTAACTCTGGAGACAAGGTGCTTCTGGGTAGATCAGTAATTACTTGATGCAGAATTAAGTGGACCTTGAAATTAGAACTGGACTGTTGGAAAGCAGGAAGCTTAACACTTTGATAGAAATAACCATTCCCAGGGACATACTGCCGTTAGGATAGGGGGCACAGTGGTGGTTCTTTCCCAACTACCCCACTCCTCCTCCTCCCTGCACACCAGATCCTTGGGGAGGTGGGCAAATGCGATGCCACAGCCTTCAGCTGTCATTGATTACCTCACAAGGAGCGCTGTGAACATCTGGGAACATAAGCCTGCCTGGCAAAATAGTCTTCTGCCTTCCACACCCCTCCTGAATTGTGCATTGTCACTCTTGAAAGTGTGCCCGGGTCTTAGGAACCTCACAGAGGGCTTAATTAAAGGCAATGGAGAGATCACACAATCAGGACACTATTGTTCCTCATCCACCTGCGGTTCTAGGGCTTCAAAGTCTTCATCTCTTCCCATTTCTTTCTCAGCTCATTTGACTTATTGTAATAAAGAAACTACTCATCAAGTCAAAGAATGTAAATGTAGACAATCTGAGGTTGGAAGCTGGGTTGGAAATGATGCATTGGACTTGGTTAAATCACTGTCACTGAATATCTGACTAACCTGTGACACTGAGGAGCCAATGGGAGAAGTAGAAAATGTTCTAATCCTCCAGCCTATAAGATTGTCATATAAGTTCCTAAATGCTTTTTGAACAGAGTGCTTAGTCTGAAAAGAATAAGTAGTCCCCAGGTTGTCTCATAATAGCAAGAAGTCTATTTAGATGGGTGTTCTGTTACTTCCCATTAAAAGCTCTCTAATAGGAGCTTAAACAATAAGGTAACTTAGTGTTTTCTGAATAAAAGTCCTGAGGCAGGCTGCTCTGAGATGGATTCAGTGGTCCAATTCTGTCAGGCTTTTTTCCCTTGGTCCCACTCTGTTGTTTTTGTACTGAGTCTTTTTGCCTCATTTTTGCAAGATGGCTGCTACATATCCAGACATCATGTTCTTACACACTCATGTTCAAAGGCCAGAGGCAGGTGGTTCCTTCTTTTCTTTGTTTACTGGGGAGACAAAATTGTTTCTAGAGCCCTCATCAGATTTCCGAATCTCACTGGTCAAAGATGGGTCTTCCAGTGAGCGACTACAATGCCCAGAGGTTTACCTCTTTTCCCACCTTTAGCTGCAAGAAAAATCGGGAAAGAAAGTACCTGGCATTTTTAACGTCAGAGTGTCAGGAGAAGGTACAGACTAGGGAGAAGGGAGTTGTGATTGGCTGCGGGGATCTAGCCAGCAGTGGCCGCCTACGAGCAAATTTATTTCCTGTTTCTGTTCAAAGCTGTACCAACTCCCATGTCCAGGTGGCCACACTAAAAAACCTTGGCATCATCCTAGATGCATCTCTGTTACTTGCTTCCCATATCCATGTGTTATCAAATCCTGTTGGTTCTACCTTCAGAATTGCTCTGCCATCTGCTTCTCCCTTCCTAAACCATGGCACCACCCTGGGTTAGACAGTGGAATGGCTGCCAAACTGCTCTCCCTGTGACCTGTTTTTTCCCCACTGTGCACTCTCTCCACGGTCCCACAGAAAGTCATCCTCATGGAAGCAGCTCTGATCATGCCACACCCCTGCTAGTGTCTGTATCCCAGCTTCATGTCTTACTGCTAAACGGAAGGCTCCTTTAGAGCCAGGCCTGTATCTCAGGTGAATTTCAGTCTAGTTTAGCAGTTCCTTATCAAGGGCTATTGAGTGAATGAATGGATATATTTATCTGCTGAGCTTTACTCTAACGAAACACATCCCCCAGTTTTTCATTGAATATTGAATTAGCAAAACACTTCATTTTTTTTTAAGTTGTATTCTTTTTTCCTTTGCTTATCGTGAGGAACCCAAAGATTGAGGTTAATTATTAATCATCACTCTCTGCTTATCCCAAACCAACTAAATGGTTGGAATTTGGGATCTGTTTGATATGATCTGAGTCTATGGCCCTAAAGCGTATTTGTTTGCCCATATTTTTGATTTACTACCCTGACCTCTTGTCTTCAGCATACTTTTTATAGGGAGTGTTCCTTCTATTCTCTGGGCCTCTAAACTGGAAAAGGCAGCCATCACAAGTGGTGAGCCTTGGCCATTATGTTCTGTTTCCTTCAAAGTTCAAATGAGCGACTATGATGCCCAGAGGTTTACCTCTTTTCCTGTAGAAAAGCACCGGGAGAGATACAGCCATTCACATTAGCTGAAGATAGCATGTCTTCGTTAAGAAATGGATTTTGCTCTGAATTTCATTGAACAATCTTGATTCACCTTAATCCTGTGGCTGACTCCTAGAGGGGCATCGCCTCTACCCTGCTGTGGTGGGAGGGAAGCACTCACTTGTATGATTGAGCACCTTGCTGGACTGACCTGAGGAAGAGCCACAGAGTACAGGCATCAGATGAAATGAACAAAACACCTTTTTTGCATCTGGATAGCATTTTGCTTCGGATGCTGTTTACTAGCACTTGAGCTCGAGAAACTCTTTCTTTCCAAGAAGACAACATTTTTTATTTCCTTTACTTATCTTGCACGTTTTTTGTAAGAGGGTTGGGGGATGAGGCATCAAAAGCAAAAACATACTCAGTTCTTACACTAACCCTTATTCTCTTGTCTTCATTTTCAGTGTGACAGTGACAGTGACCAGGAAGAGAAGGTAAGACGCCCCCCCCCCCCACATTGTGGGCACAGCACATAACAGGCTGTGAACACCAGAGGAGTCCTCCCACACACAGCTACAGGGTGGGATGCCAGCTTCATGTTGACAGGACCTTTTCTCTTTAGGAAAGATGGGCATAATTCACACGGTGACATTTCCTATGCTATGACACGTTTAATTTGTCAGATCTACTTTTTTTTAAAACAAGACCTTTAATATTGCATATATGTGACACTGAGTTTTTACTTTGTGGAAGATGACTCATAGACCCAAAAACATTTTAAAAGATAAAATTATTTATTTTAATAACCATCTGATTTTTTTAAAATCCATGATGAGAACATTAAACTTGCTAGTATGCATCTATAATGTCATTTCTGCATTTATTTTACTGACCCATATGCTTTTCTGTACCTATTGGCCTTCTTGATAGAAATGTTAATGGTATGTGCCTAGGAATCTCATCATGGGGTACGGGTGGGCAAGGGAGGTCCGATGGGAACTGCCCTCTTCCCATCGGGGCGGACAGCCAGGTAGGAGGACAGTTCTTCCAGCAGGTACATGCTCTGTTTCGAGGCTCATGGGCACCAGCCTCTGTGTATCCAGATCAACATGGATCAAGAAAAGGAACTCAGTTTCTGAGGTTCCAGAAGATTGGATCACAACCTGGTAAAGTGATCGTTCTGCTGCCTGAAGCAAAGGGATTATTTATCTGTTTGGTCTTTCCTTCTAGCTGTCCCAGTCCCCAACCAAATTTCCTTCCATTTATACTGCTGCTTTGTGTTATTTCGAGAAGAGTTACCTGAATATCATGGTTTCTGTATTGCTTGGCTTCAAAAGGATGGACTCGGCCTCCCTTCCCCCGTTTCTGGATCTGTCCTGTGCCCTGTGCTTTGACTTTCACCTCCTACATGCTTGCGGATTTTATTCAGAATGCTGCGGTTAGTATTTAGTGGGATCTTTCCAACAAACCCAGAATTTTTCTCTCCTTCTCTGCTGCCAGCCTCCAAGAGAGATCTAAAGGCTCTTGTTCTGTACTGTCGTTAATTTGAATTCAGCATATGTAGCCTGTTATAAAATGCGAGACATCATCATTTGAGCAGGTCAAGCATATTCAGATGAAGACAAATGGTGCTTATTTGATTTCCTTAAAATCAGGAAATGAAAAAAGTGCTCTCTGGAGAAATCATGTTCTGCCTGACTTGGATGATAGACCAATGCATGTCCCCCAGATAAGAACAGGCTCTCGCCTTGAGGTTTTTATCTCTGAAGGACGGCCAGGACTGTCAGCTTGCTGACATGTGCATTATCCATGTCATTTTAAACAAAGTGACCTATGGAAGGGTGCGCCGTGCTGTGACATGGTAATGGGCTGTTGGATGACAGCGAAAGTACACACTGGAAAGGGGGCTGTGGATTATTCTTTTGTTTAACTGACAAGTAGGAGCTTCCTTCCTCCAGCCCCCAGGAGCCTTAGCTCCTTGGAAATAGGACCCCTGGTGTCTCAGGCAGCCAGTGTGTAGTGGGTGCCAGGGACATGTGCACAGCGGTAATGGTTCAGTGTTCAAGACATGGTCACTGGCCCCCCGAACCCCCGAGGCCACATTCCCACATGGTGGGCATCACTGGTACCCAGGGAGGGACTGGTGCCTTCTGGCCCTTCCAGATCTATCAGCAATGGTTGATCTCACTTTGTAAGCCTGTGCCACTTTTCCAAAAGGATAAATCTTATTCAGGGTTGTACAACCAAGCTGACATTCTTTCCTTAAAAGGAAATATGGGGCCGGGTGTGGTGGCTCACGCCTGTGATCCCAGCACTTTGGGAGGCCGAGGCGGGTGGATCACAATGTCAGGAGATCAAGACCATCCTGGCTAACACAGTGAAACCCCGTCTCTACTAAAAATACAAAAAATTAGCCAGGCGTGGTGGCGGGCACCTGTAGTCCCAGCTACTTGGGAGGCTGAGGCAGGAGAATCACTTGAATCTGGGAGGCAGAAGTTGCAGTGAGCAGAAATCGTGCTACTGCAGTCCAGCCTGGGTGACAGAGTGAGACTTCATCTCAAAGGAAAAAAAAAAAAGGAAATGTGAATTCCAAAACCATCACCAGTCTTCAGCAGTGGTAGAAGGTGGTAAGGATGCCCAGGTTTGTATTCGTTGTAAATGTCTTCACCAGTGGTCTCAACCTTGACACCCAGATCACCTGGGGAGCTACTACAAGTTCCAGTGCCACGGCCTCATCCCAGGTCAATGACCTCGGAGCCTTTAGAGCTGTCTTGAATGGATCTTGATGATCACCTAACTCTGGTAATTTCTAGAAGTAATTTGCCTCTGGTTGTCAGAGGGATCTGGGGACCAATATGGAGAGCACCCCACCAGGTCCTTTCCCATCACCTGAGTTCCTGAGTAGTTATTGCCTGGGTTTCCATTTCTAAGTGCAAGAAGCAAAGTGTCAGAATAATGGGTATTGGGAAGGTAGCTCCCACCCACCACTGTGAGCTTGAGTTGATTTCAGGGTAATAAAGCGGATACGTGGTTGGTTGTAGGCGAGTCCAAGAATGGCAATGGCAGGAAGGGAAGGGGCATTAGGAGTGTTCCTCCGATCCATGGCGCATCTCCTGCCCCGCACCCCCAGTCGTTCTTCCTTTCGACTGTGGTGATCCTGCAGGTCTTAAGTGGGGGCCACACCACAACCAGCGCTCACATCTTCTGTCTCTGTTCTGCCCCATGCCATTTCTCTAGAGGGCTCCCAGTGGGAGCCGTTGAGACTCGAATTGCCCTCGCACCTGCTTGGCCCTGGTGCAGTGAAGACTGTCAGGCTTCCCCTTTTGGACTGAGATTGTCTGGTGTTTGTCGCCAAATTTAACACCATCCTCCAAGACTTATGCTCTGTCAGAACCTGGGTCCCTGTCAGCCTCCTCTGTGAAGAAACCTCTTGCCTGTGCCCCCGTCAGAGCCACAGAGCTAACCAGGGCTGCTTTCATGTGTTGCTTGGAGGATTCGCATTCGAATCTGAATTGCTAATGGTGGAAAAGATGCCACTCAGTGTCCTGGGATCCCTTCAGCAAGCCCCACCAGGGATGCTGTTGGAGGAAAAAGTGAGATTTGTCGGGGACCCACTGGGATTTCTCTCCGGAAGACCTGCCATTCCCTTACTCCATAGGGATCTGCAGAACCGGCGGGCTAAAATTAGGGTACTGTGTTTCACACAGCTGACTGAATTAAGATAAACTCTGCTTTCCTCTGATATGAAGCTGTAATTTATAAAATGATACCCTTACTAATTAACGTGGAAGTGACTCCGAAAGGGGCTTAAAAAGCAGAGCTTTCCCTAAATACAAGAGATGCTTGTGCACAAAAAGGCTTTGATGAGACACTGAGCAAAGTATCTCCCTTATCCTCCCCTCCCAGCCACGTGAATACATTCCACATTAATGTCAGATAGCCACGAGGACATTCATGAAGAGTAGAAATTGGGCCGGGCACGGTGGCTGACACCTGTAATCCCAACACTTTGGGAGGCCGAGGCAGGGAGATGACAAGGTCAGGAGTTGGAGACCAGCCTGGCCGACATAGTGAAACCCTGTCTCTACTAAAGATACAAAAAATGTAGCCCAACATGGTGACGCATGCCTGTAATCCCAGCTACTCGGGAGGCTGAGGCAGGAGAATAGCGTGAACCTGGGAGGCGGAGCTTGCAGTGAGCTGAGATGACATCACTGCACTCCAGCCTGGGCGACAGAGCGAGACTCCGTCTCATTAAAAAAAAAAAAACACACAGTAGAAACTGGGTGGGGAATTACAGAAGCCTGTGAACACTGCATCTTAGATGTGGGATTGTTCTTCAGTGTAGTGAGAGCTAAGAAAAGAAGCAGCACTTGGCACCCATAGTCACCCAAATTAAGCAATTATTCTGATCCCCCATTCGAAATGAATTGGTATCGTGAGAACAAAGAGGCAACATGCATATTGCCAAATATTTGGCCCATATTTTATTTTGTTTCCTTTCTTTCTCCACCACTGGCAGCAGACCATTATGCTAAGAAACACCCCCTATTTGGTTATGAAGTTAATGTGGAGATTAAAAGTCATTCCCTCTTCTACCCACACCCTTTTTCTTGTGTATGGCATGTGACCGAGCTGATTGGAAGGCATATAGCCCAGTGGTGAAGCACTTGGGCCTCAGTGTGATGGCTGACGCATGTTTCTGACTCTGTCCCTTTCTATTTTGTTGTGGACAAGCCTCGGCTTTCTCAGCTGTCAAATGTGGGTGACAACAGCTCTACACATAGTCCTATAGCAATTAAATGAAAGCACTTAGGGCCAGGCGTGGTTGCTTATCACGGTAATCCCAGCATTTAGGGAGGCCAAGGCAGGACAAAGTGGGCTCTGGTCTTTGAGCCCTAGAGTTTGAGACTAGCCTGGGCAACATAGCAAGACCCTGTCTCTTAAAAAAAAAAGAAAAATCTTAAAAATTAACGAGGCATGGTGGCATGTGCCTATAGTCCCAGCTACTCAGGAGGCTGAGGCAGGAGAATTGCTTGAGCCTAGGAGTTTCAAGACTGCAGTGAGCTAAGATCATGCCACTGCACTCCAGCCTGAGTGACAGAGTGAGACTTTGTTATCTAAAAAAATAAAATAAAAATATATGAAGGCATCTGGCTCAGTGCCTGGTCCATAGTAACTGCTCAATAAATGTTAGCTTTTGTTCATTTTACTTGAGGTAAAATGAGAGAGGACGCTTGAAAAAAGAGGAAGACTAATATTTTGATGCATGTGTGTCACCGTATTTTGATTAAATCTTTTCCAGTTTTGCCAACACTACAGTATACTGCAACACAAAAGATTTTATCTGTAAACACAAAGCCCTTCATCTAATACTTGTTGCTATTGCCAATTTTTTCAATGAAATGACCTAAAAACAACAACAACAAAAATAACCTATACGGTGGTTGCTTTAGGGGGTGGAGGGATGCTATCTGTTAGTGCTTAAAAGGGG